AAACCACACACGTTTTCATGTTATCGACACAATGCTATTGATGCTGAATGACAACAAAACTTCTAACCTCTTTTAAATACTTTGTTCATTTAAAAATATGTCTAAAATTAGCATGATCGGGCCAAGCCAGTGGGGCCATGGGCACATTCTGAAAATTGGTGAGAATAAACCTGTTTCCCCGGCTAGCTGCTCATCGAAGTTCCTGTTGTAAATTTCTTCATTTTTCTGAGACAGAGGCAGACTTTGCAAAGAGGTTTGAGCAGACACATCTGCGCCCTGACTAGTATCATCAGAAGGGTGATGACAGCGATGACGAAGGCCCCGCTACAGACCCGGGACTGTGTGCAGAGACCCTCTCATCCATCCTGCCAGGCTGGGTCTCACAGTGGGGGCCCTCGCAGCGCCCCCTGACCCTCAGCCCGCCTGTCCCAGATTCAGGGAACCGATGGCCTCCCTTAACCTTCAAAGTGGCAAAGAGAAATTATTCCAGTTACCTGACTCTTGGGACCACCTGTTCCAAATTATTCTTCACTCTCCAAATGTTTATAATCTAACCCTCAAACAATAACCCACCCATAGCGATCCAGCACCTTCCAGTAAACTCGATTTGGGCCTCCTCCCGTAACATTTTAGGGCCTTGCCGCTGCCGATAAATTTATTGACTCTTTTTAAGAACTGAAATGCACGGTTGTTACAGTATCGAAGGCACACATCAAATTAGCCCTTGTAAACAGTCATTTTCCTTTACAGAACCACACACACACAACCTGCTAAACATCACGACTCACAAAGGCTTACAGTTGTGTTTTCTAAACACTTAACACATTTTTTGTTTTTTTAAACAACAACAAAGAACTTCAGGACAGAGTCAGAAAATAATTGTGTTTCCCGCACTTCCAACCATCCCGATTCAGCATCTCTCCGCAAAGGGAAGGCGCGCAGAAATGTTCTCTGGGCAAGTGTCCACAGCACGCGGCGAAGGCAGAGATCTGAAGGCCTAGATTCTGGTTTCACTTACTCTGTGGCCTCTCACGAGCCATTTGACGCGAGACTCAAGTTTTCTCCCTAACCAAGCCGGAATAATAACACTAACAATAAATACCTAACTGCAAGGGTTGTTGTGAGAATCCATCCTAAAAATACATGTCTAAGAGCTGACTTCAGGCTTGGCTTACAAGTGCTCAGCACATGGCAGCTACTTCCCACATGATCATTAACACAATGATATAATTTGCAAATGGAGAGGCAAAGGCACCGATATGATGAAAATAAGGGAAGAGGGGGAAAAAAAAGGTAGCAAAAATAAATGTAAAAAAGCCTGTGGCTTTTTCCATCCTCTTTCCCCTAAAGACAACCTGGCAGGTACTTTCCTACCTTGAAATTGATTTTAAATCACACGCAATAAAGAACAAGTCCTGCCCTTCTGATTCTTTTACAAGGAGCCGAGTAGGCCTGAGCCAGCTACTCTGAGTACTTGCCACCCAATTGAGGGGGGTGATTGAGGGGGGTTATCCTCGGATTAGAGGAGGTGTTAGCCAAACACCATTAGGCCAAGTTAAGATCTTCAAATAGCGAAAATGAAGCATTGTCTCTTGGCTAATTGTTTCCCGACCAGAATCTTCTTTTTGTTTTGTGTGTTGGGGGCTGTTGGAACTGCCTCAAATAATGGGGGGAGGGGAGAGTGGGATATTCACAAAGCTGTTATGATATTGGGGGATGGGGCTCAGGGAGGAAGGTGGGGAGTGTGTGGGAGTGTATGTGTGTGTTTTCTGTCAACAGGCTGTGTTTTCTCAACTCCGGGGTTAATTCTCTGCAAAGAGATTCCTTTGGAGTGGAGTCCACCAACTCCTTTTACAGAGCAGCTAGCTAGGAGAAAAGTTTCCTTCCACTAACAAACCCAGACTTGGCAAGAGTCAGAGGGCTCAGCCTTTGGAGGTAACCGAATAACCAGCCACTTCACGTCCACAAACTCCACAGATAAGAACTACACAATTAGGCGAATTCCTCCTTTATATCAAATCTTTGGGGGAGGAGGTTTCCCTCTCTTCCAAGGAATTCATGTCTTTTCACCCAAGCTACACACACACACACACACACACACACACACACACACACCACTCAGCGCTCAAACAAACAGCACATGCGCCTCTGACCTGTGGGCCATTGCCTAATACTTACCCTTTTACTTCTTAGCATTTTAATGCCAAAGACGCCTGCCCAGCCAAGACAAAACCTTACCCCAGTTGCAACTTCCACCCATCGCCTTATAGAAGAGAATGCTCTGCGCTTGGTGTGCATGGATATTTCAGGACGAGCAAATATCGAAACGAGATATAGATATATCCACCCCCTTCGTTCGCTCCTGACAGCCCCAGGCCCTCTGCGGAGAGAGGCATCTGTCACGAGCTGCTGGGAACCCCACTTATGCACCATAACGGCCTGCGATTTTATTATACAAGGAGTTTATTGCTGGCCTAATTAGTTTCAAACTGGGCATTCCAGCTGAGGACACCTAAAAAACATCTGGTGGAAGGAGCGAGAAGTCCTCGTTCTGAGCTGGTTACGGTTGGATTTCTGCATAACTCCCGTCTCCTGCACCGGACACAAGTTATCTTTGGAAAAGTAACTGAAAAAATAAGGAAACGGTTTCTTCTTTGTGGGAAAGGAGTCATCTTGTCATGGAGGAACCAAAAACGTCTTAAAGTGGACGTGCTTGGACTGTGTGTACTTTTTCACAAGCTGCCGGGATCTCCAGAGCTTGCTCAAACCTAATTCAAAATGTACTTAGCTACACCACTGGGCATTTTTGCTGAGGACTTTTTCGTTCTCCCAACAGCAGTTAGCATTTTATCAATTTATCCGTCTGGAACAAGATTCGCAATCTCTTACATGCAATTTAAAGCAGAAGCAATACCACAGATTTGAAACAGTGTGTCTTGGGCATTTTTTGCCAAATGGTAATCCTATAACAAGTCAACAAATCATATCGCTTTATATGTTTAATACACACAAAAGACATGCAAAGAAGATCCTGAAACTTAAGTGATTAAAGCATCTGTTTTCTAAAAATCCCAAAGTATTGGGATAATTTCTTCATGTTATTTAGTTACTCCCTTTAGTTATTTAATAATTAGGAGAGAGATTTATGTGTTTCTAGAGTATTCTCATACACACAGCCACTACACCAGATACCCTATTTCAAGATGGAGGGGAAAGGCTAATTCCTTTAAGATAAAATAATAATATGGTGAAGCTTAGGTTGCAAGAGAAGGATGGAGTGACTATTAACACTGCATGGGACAAATGAACACATTAAAAAAGTTCAGGTCCTTTCGTATCTAGCCAGGATTGGTTGAAATTGCAAAATTTGGAGTTTCCTCCAAAGGCAAGGAGATTTTGAATACAACCACGATTTTATGCACAGTCAAAAGCAAGATTCAAATCATCCTCATTTGTTATATAAAATGTATCATGAACTTTCCTTAGTCGGAGGATGTCTAAATACAAGGATTATAAAGTTTAAGGGGTTTAAAGTGATGGGGAGAGAAAAGTGAGGGGGGAAAAAAGGTAAAGTTGCCCAAAAGATTTTTTCTAAGATTATTTTTAAAAGGAGGTTCCTCTCTCTCTTTCCCCCAAATGGGCCTTTGACTGGGAATAGGGCTACTAGCTCAGAACTCCTACTCTGGTAGCAGAAATTCCACTCAAGCAAGAAAGGAAGGGCTCATGAAATTAATACATTCGGTTTGAAATACAACAATTATCCGCTGGTCATAATTTCCTTTGGAAAGGGGCTCCCTAACTCAAACATAATTCAGCACTCAAATTCTTACTTGATGTTTGTAAATCATTCTACCTCCCCTCTGCTCTGGCGAACAACTCCACTCTGATATTCACTCATTCCACTGCACCTCGTAATTAAAAGGTACCTCCACCAGGAGTGATTTATACCTCAGCGTTATAAAAAAAAAAAAAAAGTAATTAAAGATTACGTAGCATTTCGGGGAAAGGGGAAGAAAAGAAAATACCATCTATAAAAATGCGGTATCAGTCTTGTCGAAAATTAATTCAGAATGCAGCAATGAGCTTGTCACTCCTGGCTGAGGCTTCGCTTGGGGGTGACAGGGACCTGGCACCGCAAGGCGCCTCGCTTTTAACAGCTGAGAAATGCCGACTGAGGGTTTTGTGATGCGAGAGTTACCAGTCAAGCTTCCCTAGCATTCCTTGAGCTTATAAACTATTTATTTGGGGGCAGGAAATATACTTAAGGCGCTAGGGCCGGCACGGCCGGTTACCCTCCAGACCGCGTGGCTAAAAAACAATTCCATTCTCTACTTTCTCCCATCACAACAAAACCCTCGCCTCCTTCTGAGCATCCTTTGGATGTAAAGTTTTTTAAGTTTCAACTCCAACGTCAGCCGGAGCCAGGACGCCCGCTCCGGTACAAAGCCCGAGCTAAACCAGCGCAGGCCGAGCGCAGACGGACTTGAAAAAAGAAATGTAGCCTCCAGGAGAAGGCTCAGAGGGCCGCTCCAGCCCCATCCCGGGGATCCTAGCGACTGCTGCTGGGTTACCCCAGGAACAGCGCCGGGAGGCGTGAGCTGGGTTCGGGTTCATCGTGCCTCTCCGGTCCGCTCGGGGAGCGCCCCTCATCGCGAATCACCGGGGCCATGAAACTAACCAAACGCAGTCAGTCCAGACGCATCCACACCGCTCGCGCGACATGCACTTGTCCCGCGCGGGAGTGCAAACTTCAGGGTCGCTGCCCCCAAGCGCATGGGGAAACTGAGGCCCGGAGCCCGGGGCAGACTTTCTCGAGAGAGGATCTGCCTGCTGTCCCGCTGTCCTTGTGCCTGAGGAGCCCTTGAAGCCCGACTCGGCCCGTGCGCCCCCGAGCGCCCCGACAGTGCCGCGGAGAGGCGCCAGGCGAGGGTTCCGAGGCCACCCCCTGCCCGGCGAATCCCGGCGGGCGGCCCGGCACGGGCGCCGCGGGAAGTACTCACCGCGCGCAGTGGAGAGAGCGCCCCGGCGTGGTGCGGGCGTGCGGACCGGCGGGCGCGGGTCCGAAGCGGCGGGGCGACTGCGGCGGGCACGTTGCCGCCTCTGCCGCCGCCGCTGCCTCCGCCTCCTGGGCTGCCGCGGCTGCTGCCTGCTCCGGGAGGACCGGCCCCTTCCCCTCCCTGGGCCGGGCCCTCCCTCTGCCCCCGCCCGGGTCCCCGCGCCGATGCGTGGGCGCGTGGGGGCGCCGAGGCGCGGCGCTGGGCTTGGCGGGCGCACACCTCCGGCGCCGGGACGCGGGGCGCGGGGCTCGGGCCCTGCAGCTGCCGCCGCACTGCTCTGAGCACGCTCTCTCCCACCGGTCCTGGAGGGAGGCGAGGGCCCAGCCTCCTCCCCCCACCGACACCCCGCACCTCCTCCCTCTGCAACCCAGGCGCGCCCTTGAGAAAGGAAAGACTGCTTGGAAGGAACCTCAGCGGTTACACTGAACGCATTCATTCATCCCCATCCATTCAATGTATATGTCCAGTGTGCGGGGTACAGCACCTGGGAGATTCGGCCAGATCAAGGGAGACTCGTTTTCTGCCCTCCCGCAACTTACACAGAGACACAAACCATGAACAAGCCATCAGGTCAAGAATCCAGACAGTTTCTGAAAGTTATAATTACTGTGGAGGGGAAAGTCGGTGCTGTGGCAAAGGAACAGTGATCACAGCCAAGGCAGTCAGGGAAGACCTCTCTGAGGAGGTGACACCTGCGTTATGAGAAAGTGTCATTGCTGGTGATATCTTTGGGGGGAGAGTTCTGGGATCTCCTTTCACCCATTTTACAAATAGGGAAACTGAGGCCCCCAAACTCAACTGGCATACCCACAGTCAGTGGTATAATCCCTCTACACACCTGGTCACATTAAGGCACGTCATTTACTCCTCCGCTCATGGCCACCTCTTTCAACCTTCCCCACCACAAACTGCCTTGAACAGAGTCCGTGTAGCATTTTTCTCCCTCACCCACTTTCTAATGTTTATGAACCCTGTTGTGGAACACCCAGGATGCTTCAGTCCAAAAACAATACCAACCACTGTCATTTGTTAAGCTCAATAAAATACAGCATGCTCAGATCCATCTGGATTTCACAGAGACAAGGAATGCCTTATTTAGTTTAAGTATGTCCTATACAATAGGTGGTACATACTGACACTAATGAAGTATTCATTGTTTCGCTGAAGTTACATTTTACTGGGTGTCTTCTTTCTATGTTCTTTGCTAAGTCGGGCAACTCTAAGCCCTGTGCTTCCTTATTTCCTTTATCCCCCAAAGAGACTGAAAGGTAGAAGCTGTTAGCATGCCCCTTTTACAAATGATCAAGTCTGTGTTTAAAAAAAAAAAAAGATAGAAAGCGGCTGAGCCAGGGCTGAAATTCAGGTCCAGCTGACTTCCAAGCCCTTGATTTTCAGGTAATGATATACAGCCTTCAAGTCTAGTTGTAGGGTTACTGGGAAGCCGATGAAACTGAAGCTCCTGGGCCCCTCACTTGCTGGGCCCCATTTTAAGGCCTAGATAAGGGTCTAGAAATGTGTTCACATGGTCACTTGTTCGTGTAAAATTAACAGAAATCACATGCTTTTGCCATTTAACAGCAATCAGCAGAAACCACCATCTCTTTTCGCCTAGATTCCCCACCGTAGCACTTGACCTTGAGTAGGGTGGTATGAAGTGGCCACTGGCGTTGTGGGGATGGAGCCAGCCCAGGGAAAGTTGATTTGGGACTTTGCGATGTTTGTGGTTTCTTTCAGCTTCTTAAAAGCTGGATTTGTTGTGATTTCTTTTCTTAATTCAAAGAAATATTCACTTCTGTACCTTAAGTTTAGACTCATAATTTTGTATTCTTTTTCTTAAATAAGACCCCAAATTGTGTATGCAGCTGCCCCCACTACACCTGGATCCACCTCTGGTCATAGCTTATTCCATCCCCTTTCTATGCCCCAAACTTCAGACAAGCAAACGCATTCAGTAAGCACGGTTGGCCCTTCTCCCATGGGCGGGGTCAGGGTTAGACCTGCTGCCCTGGGATGAAGGTGACGCTTCTGCTTTCTAGATGCAGAATGGACAGAGGTACTTGGCCTTGATTTTCTCACCTCGAAGATGAACATAACAGTACCCAGCTTGTATTATTATTGTGACAATTCACCGAGCTCCTGCTCGTAAAACACTTTCTACTATGACTATTACTGGCATTAGCGATTGCTCGACAAATATTATGGCTGTACATACAACTTCACTTTCCCATCACACCTTCGCAGAAAGCTCCACGTCATTATCAAGAGCGCCTTAGTGCTCTCCAGAGGTGTTTAATTCATTTTGGCCCACGAGCCTTAATATAATGTTGTTTAAACAGTGGTAGTAGGCAGGTTTTTTTTTGTTTTTTTTTTTTTTCCCTTGAAGGAATAGAAGGGAAGAGACGGAATAGAAATACCACATAAATTGCATGCAGCAAGAGTAGGGTGTGTGTGTGTGTGTGTGTGTGTGTGTGTGTGCTGGATCAAGGCCTGAAATCGATTTCTTTTTGCAGATCATGGGGACAGTGTTGGGGAACCCATTATCTATGGAATACAAAGGGTTAATTGGTTTTCATCCAACCATTTAACTCTCTCACTAGAATCTGGCCCATTGTCTCATGCATCACAGCCACACCCCACAGCCTCCTGAGAGATCGACAGGAGGCAGGTGCTTATTAATTTTATTTTTCTTTCTCTTAGGGCAGTGATTCTCAGCCCCCACTGCCCATTAGAATCTCCAGAGGAGCTTTTAAAAATCCCCATGCTGGGGCCCCACCCCAGACCAATTAAACCAGACTCTAGGGGCGGGGGGGGACTGAAGCATCAGTATTTTTTAAAACTCCCCGGGCGATTCCAGTGTGAAGCAGAGAGAGGGTGAGAAGGACCTGACCCCAGGTTCACAGTAGATGAGGTAGACGCTGAGATAAGGCTTAGGGCTCCCAGTTTTTATTCAAGACCTTCAAATCCATCCACCTTCCTTGGTAGGAGTGCCCCCTTTCCATTCCTTTCTTTCCCTTGATATCTTCTTTCAGTATTTAGGCTCATTTTATAATGACCAGCATAATAATCCCAGACAAAATTTGAAAACGCTAAACCATGAAGCAGATTCTTTGGAGGGTAGACCACAGGCGCACCTGTCTTGGAGCAAAGTACTTTTCTCCCCCCAGAGTCTTCCAAGTAAATGTCCTCTGAAGCCAGAAGACCAGCCTAACCTTGAAAACTACCAATGTCACAATGTATCCAGCACGCGTACACACATCCCATGAAAACACATGTGTGTTCTCCAGGCCAAGTCATGCCTTATTTCTGCACACAATTCTTTCCCATGGGCAGAGCCTCTCTGCAGAAAAGAGCACTCCATTTGTTTTTTTTAATCCTCACCTGAGGATATTTTTCTATTTATTTTCAGATAGCGTGGGAGAGAGAGAGAAAGGGAGAGAGAAAAAAACATCCATGTGAGAGGGACACATCGACTGGTTGCCTCCCACACGACCCTGAACAAGGTTGAGGACAAACTGCAACCCAGGTACATGCCCTTGGCTGGAATCGAACCCAAGACTCATTGGTCCACAGGCCGATGCTCCAACCGCTGAGCCAAACCAGCCAGGGCAAGCACTTTTAATGCATTTTAAAAATCTTGGCTCGTTCCAAAAAGGACCTGAGGCAGCATGCAGAAACATATATATATGGCAGCAGAAAAAAAGGAAACAAGAACACCGGTGAAGCAGAATCATGGGAGGAAAAGAAATGAAAGTCAAGGATGAGATTTGCGCACAAAATGTGGGCTAGCAGGTCCTGAACATTTCTCAGCAGTGGGCTGAAAATTAGATGCTGATCTTCCTGGCAGCCAGAGCAAAGAAGAAAATGCGATCGATTACGCTGGTGCCTTTCTAACTTTCTTTTATTCAAAAGCAGGCATGTTGTGCTCGTTTCGGCAGCACGTATCCTAAAAGTGGAACGAAACAAAGATCAGCGTGGCCATGGCGCAAGGATGACACGCAAATTAGTGAAGTGTTCCGTATTTTAATACATGAATCACAGAGGGAAAAGATCAAGTATGCGTAGAAACGCAGTGTGAAGAGAGGAGGGGAAGGATCCCAGCTTCATGCCTCACATGTTTCTCCTGCGGGTACTTGTAAAAGGGCTTGAAGGAATCCCAAAAGCTCTGCCGAGCCAAGCTTGAAAGCCGTGGACTTCAAAGCGCTACACTCTGTTCATGATTCTCAATGTCCGTAAGATCGAAACAAACAGAACTACTTGAACGAAGCAGAGTTTTTCCTGATATTGGTCAGGAGAGAAGTTCTCCCACAGGTCCTTATAAGTAAAGCAACATGTCACACAATGTGCATGTAGGGGTGGGCAGGGGACTTTTGTGCAAACACATGAAATATAAAATACCCCCTACCCCCCCAAATTGTATTATATATTATACACAGAGATAAATACATATTCTCACATGCTCCCTATCCCAAAAATACAAATGCAGGCTTACGTTGAACAGCCCTAGTTAATAGATTCCCAATAGACTGCCTCGGTTTGGAATACCCAAGTTTCCTAAAAGGCATATTTCTTATCATCTTTGGACCAGTAGTTATAAACAGAAACTTATATTTGCATCCCCAAACTCAATGTAAGATTTCTATCAAAATAACACACGGGGAAAGTAACTTTTCAACTGCTGTTGGGAGAACATCCGCCCCACATTTGGAAACGCGCACCCAGAAGCAGAGATGGGGACACGCCGCCGATGTGGCCACGTCATCACGCGCACATCAACCATTTGTCGAAAACTTTCGTCATCGTCTGGTGATCAGAAAGCCACGCTTTAAGCATTTCATATCCTAACAAGCGAGTCTGATACTTGGTAAGCATTTTAAGTGTTTAGTTCCATTATAGAAAATTATTTTGGGGCTTGAGTTGACGTGTCATACATTAAAAATTTTTCCCCCATTTAAAATCACGAGAAATCAACGCTTGGGTATGTTTTTAGGCAGAGCATCAGAATTTCAGGATCATCAATGTTCAGCGGGAGACACTTACTCCCGTATGGAGAGGGACCTTCAAAACACCCTCACATGCTGTCCGTCACCCTGCACCACCTCTCCGGACACAGGCCCATGGATGTCACCTTACTCGTTCAGGTCTCTGCTCAAATGTCTCCACCCCAGACAGGCGCTCCCTGACCTCTCTGTCCAAAACAGCATCCTCAGCCAGCACGTGTATTTGTCATTCTACCACACTACGTCACATGTGTTTATCTGTTCACTGTTTGTCTCTGCGACCAGAATCTCAGCTGCATGTGAGCAGGGACTTGACTGGTTTGCTCATGGCCATGTCCCCAGCTCCTGGAACAGGGGGTGTACAGGGAGGAACCCAATAAATAGAGGATGGATGAAGACAATACACATGAGGCGGTACGGCTTTCGACGCTGCCCAGAATGACCACAGTCGTGCTGCCCTTTCCAATTTCCCTTCCCGCTCACCCTGGAATAAATACAGAGGAATCACGGTGATCGAGGAACCGTTCTTCTGAGGAACCACCAGGAGCTCAAGATAAGGTCAAGGTTTTCTTCTTCTTTTCTTTTTTTGTTTTGTGTGTGGTACGTGCCCCTAGCAGGAACCGGACCCGAGACTCTCTGGTCCGCATACCGATGCTCAACTGCTGAGCCAAACTGGCCAGGGCTCTTCTCTTTTTCTTTTATGCTCTCTCTTTCTCTTTGTTTTTCAGCAAAGACCTTGAGGATTCAAAGAAGGGGACTGGAGAGTACCCCAGATGGCTGAAGTCCATGCTTCCCTTCAGGGACTAGTTAGGAGACAACAGAAATGCCAAATGGGAGGAGAAGGAGATGAAGCGTCTGCCGGCTGGTGGTAAGACCCAGCAGCGGAACAAGAGCCTTTATGTAATGCCTAGATACTTTCATTAGGAGCAGCTCTCCAATCAGTTTGTATGTGAAGACACTCATACCACTCCAAGCAGGTTCTCCAAGCCACGCTGGGGTCAGGCTGGCTTTGCAGTACTAACCCCCAGAATTTCTGCCCCTCATCTCTTTGGAATTTCCTTCAAAGACATGCCAGTTTTTGCTTCACCTCCCCTCCCCCCAAGGCAATGGTTCTCAACCTGTGGGTCGTGACCCCTTTGGGGGTTGAACGACCCTTTCACAGGAGTTGCCTAAGACATAACAGTAGCAAAATTACAGTTATGAAGTAGCAACGAAAATAATCTTACGGTTGGGGGTCACCACGACATGAGGAACTGTATTAAAGGGTCGCGGCATCAGGAGGGTTGAGAACCACTGCAAGGAGAAAAAGCATATAGCGTGGCTTTTTAATACAGGTGGCTTCTGTTTTCTCCTTGCTTTTGGTGGTGAACAAAGCTGACTGTTCTTCAGTAGACATCAGAGGAATGACCTTGGAAAAACTGACCGAGAGACATCAGAGGTCTCCAGGATCCAATCAGGTATTGTTCTAAATTCTAAAAGAATTTGTGGTCCTGAAGACACAGGAGTATCTGAAGAGATTACAGGAGTCTCTCAAGGTCAGAGTTCTAGAGACTTCCAGCAAGATGGCAGAGTAGGTAAACACCGTGCTGACCTCCTTCCGTGACCACATCGACTTTACAACTAAATGATAGAACAACTACCGTGAGAACCACCTGAAGTCTAGCTGAACAGAAGTCCTGCAACTAAGGATGTAAAGAAGAAGCCGCGTTGAGACTGGTAGGAGGGGCAGAGATGCGAAATGGGCTGGTCTCACCCCACTGTGCGGTGGTTAAGAAACCCAAGGGCTATCTCCCCTGAAGAATGAGGGATCCCAGCCCCACACCGGGATCCCCAGACTGGGGCACCAGTGCCAGGAGGAGGCGTCCCCATAACATCTGGCTGAGAAAACCAGCCAGGATTGCACCCCAGTGAGGTGGAGGGCTGCTATAGTCCCAGATGTTCCTCTTGAGAAGTTTGCCAACAGACTTGTTTGCTCACAGACTCATTTGCTCTGAGCTCCAGTGCTGGGGCAGCAGCTTGGAAGGTGCCAGGGACAGATTGTGGGGAACAAAACTGACGAGCTTCAGGGCAAGGGCTGGAGGCACAGGGGTCAGGGCAGCTCTCTCTGGGGACAGAAGCATGGGCAGGTGCCATTATTTTTTTGTTCAGCCCTTCCCCATCCAGCCACAGGTGCAGTGGGCCCCAGATCTGAGCTCTCCATTAATCAAAGGTCTTTTGAGAGTGGAACATTTTGAGAGGGAAAGAAACACTGTTAATAATAGAGCACAAACCAGGACTGTCCCAGGCAAGCAAGGACAGATAGCCACCATACCTAGCAGGATGACTTAGGTATGTCCTGAGAACTAAAGACATGTCAAATTTAATCAAGTAATCCTGTGGGAGGTATGTAGTGGCACACTTCCAGGAGTAGACCAGGGGCCGTGGGCAGTTCTTCTTGTGGTTATGAAATTGACATAACAGTTCTCCTTATGGTTCAGGGCATCTCCTCCACGTCTCTGACAACCCTCTAGTGCCCTGAACCATATCGCTGGTTATTATGCAACCTCATCATACTGAGAAATGGTCTCCCCAAACCCATGGGATGATATAACGGATGCTACATGGATATTGTAAACACTTTCCTGGGTGCCTGCAGCTCCTTATCTTTTCTCTGCTGGAATCTCTAGAACATGTGCCAGGGACCCCTTGGGCAGTCTGGTGAAGTCGAAGGACATCATTTCAAAATGATGCTTCTAAATACACAAACATGCATATAATCTACACATGGTGCTGGAAAACTGAATATTGATAAAAAGTTAACATAGATTCTTCCCTCATGTTATGCACAAATATCGACCCAGAATGGAGCACAGACCTCAATGTAAAGCCTTAAACCATAAATGTTCTAATAAACAACATGGAAGAAATGTACTGCAACCTTGGGGCAGGTTAAGGTTTTTTATAACACAAAAATTACAAATCATGAATGAAAACATTGATAAATTGGACTTCATTCAAGTTTAAAACTTTTGTTCTTCAAAAGAATTGAAAGAATAAAAGGCAAGCTACAGATTGGGAGAAATGTAATACATCTATCAGACAGATATAAAAACATATAAGAAATTTATAACAAATATATGAAGAACTTCTACAACTCAATAGGAATATGACAAATAACTCAATTTCTAAAAAGGGCAAGCAGTTTGTCACTTCAAAAGGAAGATATACAGATGGCCAATAGGCACATAAAAGATGCTCAACATCATCAGTCGTCAGGGAAATGCAAATTAAACTATAGAGAAATGCCATTACATATCCATTAGATTGGCTAAAATTTAAAAGACTATAGCAGGTGTCAACAAGGATGTGGAGCAACTAAACTTTCATATGCTGCTGGTGGGAATGTGAAATGGTACAACCACTTTGGAGAATAGTGTGACAGTTGCTTAAGCAGATAAAAATTCCCCTACCATCTGACCCAGCCATTTGACACCCAAGAGTAAGGAAAACATAAGTCCACATAGAGTTGTATAGGAATGTTAATAGCAAGTTTATTTGTAACAGCTAAAAACTGGAGACAGTATAATTGTTCATCAGCAGATAAATGGAAAACAAATGGTGGTAATATCCATACAATGGGTTGCTACTCAGCAATACAAAGGAATAAAAGCAATGTATGATACGCACAGCATGGATGAATGTCAAAATCATTATGCTGAGTGAAAAGGCCAGACTCCCACCACACCAATAAAAGACTCATAATGTATGACTTCATTTATATAAAATTCTCAAAAATGCAAACTAATGTATAGTGACAGAAAGCAAAGCGCTGGCCACCCGTGGATGGGTGTGGTAGAAGGACGGATGACAGAGAGGCACAAAGAAACTGTTGGGGGTGGGAAAGTTCGGTGCCTTGATTGTGGTGATGGTTTCATTATATCAAAAATGATAACATTGAACACTTAAAAAATTTCCAGTTTATTATGCTTCAATTAAATCTCAATAAAAAATATAAAATTATTGTGATATAGTCATAGGAATTTCTTT